AGAGGATAGGTGGAGAGGAAACAAACAGGTCGAAGAGGCGGGGATGGGGCCAGGAAAGGTGAGTGTAGGTAGGGAGTTAGGAAGGGGATAGGTCAGTCCAGGGAGGACGGACAGGTCAAGGGGGCGGGATGAGGTTGGTCGGTAGGAGATGGAGGTGCAGCTTGAGGTGGGAGGAGGGGATAGGTGGGAGGAAGAACAGGTTAGGGAGGCAGGGACGAGTTGGACTGGTTTTGGGATGCGGTGGGGGGAGGGGAGATTTTGAAACTTGTGAAATCCACATTGATACCATTGGGCTGCAGGGTTCCCAAGCGGAATATGAGTTGCTGTTCCTGCAACCTTCGGGTGGCATCGTTGTGGCACTGCAGGAGGCCCAGGATGGACATGTCGTCTGAGGAATGGGAGGGGGAGTTGAAATGGTTCGCGACTGGGAGGTGCAGTTGTTTATTGCGAACCGAGCGTAGATGTTCTGCAAAGCGGTCCCCGAGTCTCCGCTTGGTTTCCCCGATGTAGAGGAAGCCACACCGGGTACAGCGGATGCAGTATACCACATTGGCAGATGTGCAGGTGAACATCTGCTTGATGTGGAAAGTCTTCTTGGGGCCTGGGATGGGGGTGAGGGAGGAGGTATGGGGGCAGGTGTAGCACTTCCTGCGGTTGCAGGGAAAAGTGTCGGGTGTGGTGGAGCTGGAGGGGAGTGTGGAGCGGACAAGGGAGTCACGGAGAGAGTTGTCCCTCCAGAAAGCAGATAAGGGTGGGGAGGGAAAGATGTCTTTGGTGGTGGGGTTGGATTGCAGATGGCGGAAGTGTCGGAGGATGATGCGTTGGATCCGGAGGTTGGTGGGGTGGTACGATTCCTCAGACGACATGTCCATCCTGAGCCTCCTGCAGTGCCACAACGATGCCACCCGAAGGTTGCAGGAACAGCAACTCATATTCCGCTTGGGAACCCTGTAGCCCAATGGTATCAATGTGGATTTCACAAGTTTCAAAATCTCCCCTCCCCCTACCGCATCCCAAAACCAGTCCAGCTCGTCCCTGCCTCCCTAACCTGTTCTTCCTCCCACCTATCCCCTCCTCCCATCTCAAGCCGCACCTCCATCTCCTACCGCCCAACCTCATCCCGCCCCCTTGACCTGTCCGTTCTCCCTGGACTGACCTATCCCCTTCCTAACTCCCTACCTACATTCATCTTTACTGGCTCCATCCCCGCCTCTTCGACCTGTTTGTTTCCTCTCCACCTATCCTCTCCTCTATCCCTCTTCTATCCGCCTCCCACTCTCTCCCTATTTATTTCAAAACCCCTTTCCCCTCCCCCTTTTCTGATGAAGGGTCTAGGCCCGAAACGTCAGCCTCTCTGCTCCTATGATGCTGCTTGGCCTGCTGTGTTCATCCAGCCCTGCACCTTGTTGTCTCGGATTCTCCAGTATCTGCAGTTCCTACTATCTCTGATAAAGTAGGAGGTTGCTTAACAGTGGGTAGAGGGTAGCCTCTGAACACACACACACACACACACACCCCCGCCAACAGCTTCCTCCTTGAAAAAGGCACGTCTCCTGTATTCTACGTTTCTCTGAGCAGCAAGGTCAAGTTGAGGCTCTCGACAGTACAGTCAATCCATGGACCCTGTCTCTATTCTGCCCTGTTATTTAACTATTGAATCTCATAATCGGGTCTCATAAAATTCAGAGTTTATAAAGGCATCCCACCTCCTGGCTTTCTCCCACCATTCCTAGCCCCAAATTTGCTTAGAAAAAAAACACTTGCTGTCAAAGTAACTTGTGTCTTCTTCTGACTCCAGGTGGGGAATGAATTCTGCCTTTTGACGCAGCAGGCTCGTCCAGTCCAGGTCTTTGAAGAAACCATGTTGCTTGACTTCATAGGTGCCTCCTACAGAGAGAAGAGAAATGGAGTTAGTATAACACAAGCTGTGAAATGTACAGGTGGTGTTGGCATTGGGAAACTAAACATGCTCAACAATGGCTATTGTTCGAATCCTCACTGACTCTTCCTCATTTTTATTCTTTTATCAATTTTGCAATATGAGCTGGAAATGACTTGTGGACTTTGGTACAGCTTGTAGTAAAAGGAAAAGAACAGACCAAACAAGCTTTATTTGTTTGTGAGGCCAGGCCTCGAGGCTAATTGCAGGCTGGGCCTAGATGAAAAAGGTTCCAACAGTCACAGTGATACCAAGAAGAGCCTTATGCTTAAAAAGAGCGCAGAAGTTGGCAATTAAAGTGATCAGTACCAGGGAATTGGTTCTGGCAAGTCTGGAAGAGACTCCATCTTCAAGCAGATGGCTGTTGTTTAATGGTAATTGAGGCCTCAGGAAGAGTCGATTAGTCTATCAGGATGGAACTAAAATTAATTTTTTGAACTATGTTTTCTGACAGATGGTTCTGGGCTGCTGATGGGACAGCATAAAGATTTGAAAGCTCCCTATCTAGTCTGATACACCAGCTTCAAGAAGCCCAAACTGTAGAAAGTTGATTTAGAAGTATTGTTGCCTTTCCATGGATGAACTGAGAAGGCGACCCTGACCAACATTTCAGAGAAAACAGCCATAACATCCACATTAATGCCCCTGAAACACCACATCGTGAAAACCATGTAAGTAATATGGTTACTTTTGCTATTTTATTTTATTCCTTAATTATGTTTGTTTGTCTGTGTGTCTTCTTTGTGAATGGGGGCTAAAAACAAATATTTCAGATTTAAATCTCAGACATTAATCTGCTTGCCATGTTTTTAAGTTTACTCTCTGCTAAAGTTATTGCGTATTTAATAAATAGTTAAATCTTTTGTTTAAGATATAAAACCAATGTCCGAAAATTAATTATTCACAAAGTCTGGGATTGGTAATTCAAAAGTCTGGTTAGGGACTACTGGAGTGAGTATTTTGGGGTCGTCAGTAGTTTAGTTTTACTGTGTTGTGAATACAGAGGTAGAAAGACTGATTTGATTCAACTGTTTCTGTGTCATAACACTTCAAAGAACTCTGATGATTTGAAGTAATAGTATTTAGCTAAATCTAAATACAACAAAACAACCAGCATTCATATTGAATGTACCTTGAGTAGGCTGAAGTAACAACTCAGCTTTAATGTACATATTGGAAAGAGAATATTAAAGCCAATTTTATGAATCAATACTCCCAGATGATTTAGACAATGATTCTATTGTTTACACTAATTTCTATGTACATAGGCAACTTGTGTGTGGAAACAACCTTGTATCATGCCTTCCACTTATTATTTGAGAGAGGACTGTCATCAGCTCATTGAGGTTGCAAACATAAATGGTTTTCCAATTCACTTTGTCGATGGGAGGTCACTAACAACTTCAAAAGCAGGGCACTAACCTCCTCCCCTGGAGTGCAGCATTTCTCCAACATTAAACATCCAGCAGCTTTTAGCTCATTGAGATAATAGTCACTGCTAGATAAATGTGCCTCTGATTTTTGCTGAAATGCTGGACTCAGGGATACACTTCCATCTCAATTGCCATTAACATAAAAATTGCCAATTTGAACTTCTTTGTGCCTCAGCCTCTTTAATGACATTGCAGCAATTCAGTCTCAGCAGCACACACTTAGCACAATCTATATTGCAACAAAAGTGATTAGATTTCCAAATTATGCTGAGTTGGCCCATAAAATTTGGCAGTGGATGGATCTGATTTAATGTGATGAGCATTACAAAGAAGGTGATTACCAAAACGTGTTATACTTGCATCAGAGATGTTATCAAATGACAGTTAACAGTGAGTGGAAGACATTTGTAATGGGAGTGAATGGAAGGGTTGGATTCATTAGCCTACTATACAACCATAGTGAATGGGAGAGATTTGACCCATTCATTCGATACACAACCACAGTGAATGGGAATAGTCTGGCACCTTGTGATTTTATGGAGCTAGAGTGAAATGAAATACAGTTTCATCCACTGATATTGTGCACAAATGGACTGATTGGCAAGTAGTTTGACTTTGGAACATTTTCATTTGTCAAGTGAAATAAATTTGGAAGAATTTGAGATACTGGCATTGCATTTAAGGAGAATGAATGTGAAGTGATCATTACATTAACATTATATATAATAGTAGTTGGAAAGATGGCTGAATTGTAATTGGACCCGCCTTATAAATACTGTGGCTTGCAAGAGTAGGTCAGTGTTTGGGAACTCTGGGATAAGTAACTCACCTTCTGACTCCCCAAAGCCTGTCCACTATGTACAAGGCACAAGTCAGGAGTGTGATGGAATACTCCCTATTTGCTCCAATAACACTCAAGAAGTTCAACACCACACGGGAGAAAATAATCTGCTTCATCAGCACCCCATGCAGCACATTAAACCTTCATTCCCTTCACCACCAACACACAGTGGCAGAAGTGTGTACCAGCTACAGGGTACATTGCAGTAAATTGCCATGGCTCCTTCAACAACTTTGTGTAAATATGTGACATCAACCACCTAGAGGGACAAGGCAAGCAGCTGTATGGGCCACCAACACTTGCAAGTTCACCTCCAAGTTACATATCATTCTTGGAACAATATTGCCATTCATTCATTCTTTCTGGGACAAAAGCTTTGGAACTCTGTCTAGACGGTACCACAGGCACTAGACTCATGGCCTGCAACAGACCAAGAAGGTAAATTACTAGCATCCTCTCGAGGTCAACAGGATGGGCAACAAATGCTGGTCATGCTAGTAACATCATATCCTGGGAATGCAAAATACAGGTATTTAAATAGTGCGCAAACAATCAAAACAAATACTTGTACTTATATCATACTTTTCACACCCAAAGGACATTTCAAAGTGTTTTACAACTGATGACACACTTTTCAAGTGTTGTAGTGTTGGCACATAGGAAATGCTGCAACCAATTTGCACAACAGTAAATTCTTCCAATGAATGCCACAATGATTGGATTTTCTGGTCTTTTGTGATATCGACTGAAAAATAAATGTTGGTCTGGATGCCGACAAGAACACTTAGCTGTTCTCAAAAACTGTCCATGTGATCTTTTACATTAAACCAAACAGACAGGTAGGACATCAGTTTAACAACTCATCTGAAAGACAAGGCATCTCCAAAAATTCAGCACTCTCACATGATCTCAATGAAGTGTTAATCTTGATTTATGTATGTTCAAGGTTAGATAGAGTTTTGATCAACAGTGGATTCAAGGCTTGTAGGACCAGACAGGAAAATGGATTTGAAGCCACGATCAGATCAATCATGATCTTATCAAATGACAGAGCAGGATCAAGGGGCCGATGATCCTTTGTGACTCACAGATGATGGTGCGATCAACTGAGCAGTGGCTGGCAAATTGGAAAGATTGGTACAAGGGAGTAAATGGAAAGGATATGATATTGTAACATTGCATAGAGTGGAAGAGGTCTGGTACATTAGTTTTGTATTAGCTGCACAAGGTCAAACTGGGTAAAGGCCTCACATTGACATTGTATACAATGAAAATAAGTGGTGTCATTCAAAAAGGTCATAATTCAAAGAATGAGATGTCTTGGCGGAGCTTTACTCATCCCCAAATAAGACAGGACTTCAATTGGGAGTGGTTAAGCCCCTGAAATGTGAATGTACTTTATTTCCTGGCAATGACAACCTTGTTGAAGACGTTCAAAAAGTAAATTTAATAAGTTATATAAAGAACACATAGGATAAAAAGGGCTTTTACAGAAAGAATACCTTGAGTTGTCATTTTTATCATGTCAGGTCAGGGTGAATGTGTACCAGTGGTGAATCAACTGTGCGTCACCTCATATCTTCCAGGAATGTTAGTTCTATGAATAATTCAAAATGCATAAAGACAAAAATCTTTCTACATTAAAACAGTGACTGCACTTCTGAAGCACTTTACTGGCTATAAGGCACTTTGGGACATCTTGAGATGATTAAAGATGTTATTCAAACACAAGTTCTTCCTTATGTTAAAGTTATGCCAAGAGCAATTTGGAATGATTGAAAGAATAGATGGTCATCATTTCCAATCTCAGTTTTGAAGGGTGATGAAAGATATGCAGCAGAATGAGAGAGAGAGAGAGAGAGGAAAGGCTCTGCTCTATAGACACATAGAATCCCTACAGCACAGGTAGAACCATTCAGCCCATTGGGTCTGCACTGACCTTCCGAAGATCATCCCACCCAGACCCACACCCATCCCCATAACCCTGCATTTCCCATGGTTAATCCACCTAGCCTACACATCCCTGGATACTCTGGGGCAATTTAGCATGGCCAGTCCACCTAACCATCCTCCACACTATGGTCCCATTCAGGTTGTGGTTACCTACCTGTCCCCAGTCTGTCCAATGGGTTTGGCTGCAGAAGACAGGAAATAAGGTGTTGAGCATCTGCTGGGAGTGCCTCATCACCATCAGGCCACATTATATCATCTGGAAACAAAAGGCAATGTAAGAAACCAGAAAGGAGTAGCATTTGCCACTAATGCCCTTTGTATTATCACTTTTTTTGAAAATATTTGTGACTATTTGCCTCAAATCCCACTTGAAGCCTCTCATTCCAATATAGTGTTGGCACTCTATTTCCAATTCAGTGGTTTATGGAAAAAGATAAATTTCTTTGGAACTGTGGTGAGTGTAATTGTCAAGAAATCCTGCCTTTCACCCATCACAGACTATTTGTTTTGTCCTTACCTCCCTTCCCCCACCCCAGTGCTTCCCAAACCTTTTGCCCACTGTGACCCCATTTTGAGCTTTGAAAATTGTCATAAACCCTCAGCATAAGACCTTTGAGAGCAGGAGGGGGGGTGTCGCAGCTGATGGGTTGGTAGCGGTGTGGTCCCTCCACAGTACAGGCTGGAGGTAGAGGCATGAAACAGTGACAGTAGTGCTGGAGAGCCCTGAGGGTGCTGGGTGGAGACCTGTGAGAGTGGGGCAGGAGCTGAAAGAGCAGGTACCTGTTAGAGCAGGAACACAGCTAATGTAACTCAGCCAGAACTCCACAGCAACTGTTACTGACTCATGATCCCACAATTTCAACATGGACCCATGTGGGAACCCCTACTTTGGGAAGCCCAGCTCCACCCTCTCACTGCCTCCTGTAATGTATACCCCTCTAATCTTTTACCACACTCTGATGGAAGATCATCAATCTGAAACATTAATGCTGTTTTTCCCCCCCACAGGTTCCCCAGGCCTGCTGAGCATTTCCAGCCCCTTATTTTTAATTTCAGATTATTATATTAACTGGAGTTATTCTGCTTCAGGACAAGTAGCATCCTCCTTCCCGAGATTCGTGAAGGAACAATGACTTCTCCATGGGGTACAGTACATCTTGCCACAAGTTTCCTGTTCCATTAATTAGCTGTAGGAATTCAGGCTCTGAATGATCTTCAGACATGTTTGTTGTGCATTAACTGCTGGTAATTACCAATTTTATTTTTGCCTTCCAATTGTATTTATCCTTTCAAGAGGACAGCAACTAGATGTTGAGCAAGCTTACAAGATAGCAAGGCCTGCAATGGAGTTTGACATAGTTCCCTTTTAAGCCTTGTCACATTTCAACAGGAGTTGAGTTTCTGTTTGTGTGATAAACTTCATTTTTTTGAGATTTAATTAAAGTGAAGTAAAGTCACCATAGTCCCAGAGAACCATAGGGCTAAATAGAGATGACAGAGATAGAAACAGAGATAGAGATGACTGGTGGTGGTTTAACCTGAGGGTCACCACACCTCAGGCGAGGGGAGAGGTTGAGAAGGAGAGCCCTTCATGGTAACCTCAGCTGGTGCAGGAAGAGTTGGCTAATAAATCCTTAAAGCCAGCACCTTAAGACTAACACCCACTTAATTATCGACAGACACAATTACGCATCTCCAAAGCTATAAAACAACTGGAACATGCATCATTCGGTCAAGAATACTTACCTAATTTTTGGACAGGCATTTTATCTTTTTACCTTGGGCCAGGAATATCCAAGTATTTTTGGCTTCATGCCCTCAGACATAATAAATAAAACTGAGATCTGTTTTTTCTTCCATTTGTAAACATTCCTGGGCATTAAGAAATTTTGGTGTTCCGAATAGGTATTTGTTAATGCATAGGGAAACAATACCAGGAACAATCCAATATGAATCTAACTCTATCCCACAGTCAAAATTCAAGCCAGTTGAGAGATACGTATTGAGTGGCCTGAACTTCAAAGGTCATGTTATTGCCAGGGTCCACAGTTCCAACAACCACAGTTTAAACACCCTTGCCCAAGATTATACAATGTAGCATAGACATAAACATCGTGGGAGGGTCATTGGATCTGACTGGATTCCAAACCTACCACTGATGACCTGGCCAAACAATTCCTCAGGCGTGTCACCAAAGAAAGGGACACACCCCACCAGAAATTCGTACAGTATAATACCCATTGCCCACCAGTCGACCGGCTTCCCATATCCCTGTCGCACGATGACCTCTGGGGCAATGTACTCAGGAGTGCCACACACCTGCAACAAAACAGTCAATGTCAGAATGTATTGAAATCAGCTAGTTTGCACTGCTTCTGCATCGCTTCCCATCAACCCACAACCCTGCCTCACGTCACTCTACCATTGGCAATTGTACTTTCGGCAATAAGGCCCCACTCTCTTTAAACCTCTCCACCTCACTCTCTTCCAATTAAGGCCATCCTTATTCAATTGACCAGGCCTTTCAGTACATTCTTCATGCTAACTTCTATAGCTAGGTGTCCATTTTTCTGCCCTGTTTGTGAAGGGTCTTGGGATGTTATTCTAAATTAAAAGCAACCTGCTGTGAATACTTTTGGTGGAGAAACAACATGATTGAAGGTCTTATGAGGATATCAGCCAAGATAGTTTATTTAATTTAGCACTATTGTTTGTCTAGTATGCATTAATTCCCAGTACACCTCAGCTCTGAGTATAATTATCTGTGAGCAGATGGAGTTCAGTACGAAGTCATATACTATGGATCTAACATAGATAGATTATATAGTATGTTCTAAATGGTGAAAAGCTGCAGACGCAGAGAAATTTACACTTCCAGGCACACAAATAGAAAGACAGACTTGCATTTATATATCCACAAACATTGACGTCTCAAAATGCTTTGTAAATTTTGAAATATTTTTGTAATGTAGGAAACATGGCAGCCAATTCTCAAACAACAAACTCCCAGAAACACACAACCGGTTCATCTGTTTTTCTAAAATAAACAAATAAATTGCTGGAGAAACTCAGCAGGTCTGGCATTTGTGGAGAGAGAAACAATGTTTCAAGTGCAGTAAATTTCTGAAAAAGAATCAAAATGTTAACTCTGTTTCACTCTCCACAAATGCTGCCAGATCTGCTGAATTTCTCCAGCATGCTCTGAGTTTGTTTCAGATTTGCAATGCAGTATTTTAGTTTTATACCTGTTTTTCTGCTGTTTTTTTTGAGGAATAAACATCAGCCAGCACAGCATGGGGAATGCACATGCTCTTTTTTGAAATAGGAGCATGTAATTATATTCACCTAACCCAGTGCATGGGACCTCAGTTTAACATTGCATCTGAAAGGCAGCACCCTGACAGTGCAGCACTTCCTGGGTACTGCACTGAAGTGTCAGCCTTGACGTTTGAGCTCAAGAATTGGAGTGGAATTTAAACAAGGAACTTTGTGAGTGAGACAGAACAATCCTACCAAAACTGACACTGTTAAAAATAAATCACGGAAAAGCTAGCGGACACATACAAAAATAATTTTAAAACCTACTGAATAACAGCATGTTGTTTGGGAACTTAACACCTCAATGATCAATCTGTTCTTCGCTAAGAAAGAACATGTGAACGATCTGTATAAAGTATAGATGATCTCCTGGTATTATTATAGCCTATTTAATTACCTAATTGCAGCATGACGCTGTTTTCAATTGCCTCGTTTTCCAATTTCAGCACCTAGTTAATAAGTAAACTAGTCTTCATTGAGCAGATTGTTTCAATGGAGCCAGCAGAATCAGACAATTGGGAGTTTCATTGAGAAATTTCAGTTAAGGTAGGGCACACAAAGATTGAAAGAAACAGAGTACGATGACAAACTTTATACAATTATAGAAGTTTATAAACTCATGAGGGACATGGAACAGAGTGAATAGCAAAGTTCTTTTCCCCAGGGTGGGGGAGTCCAATACTAAAGGGTTTAAGGTGAGAGGGGAAAGATTTAAAAAGGACCTAAGGGGCAACTTTTTCACGCAGAGGGTGCTGTGTGTATGGAATGAGCTGCCAGAGGAAATGGTGGAGGCTGGTACAATTACAACATTTAAAAGGCATCTGGTTGGGTACATGAATAGGAAGGGTTTAGAGAGATATGGTCAAATGCTGGCAAATGGGACCAGATTTATTTAGGATCTCTGGTTGGCATGGATGAGTTTGACCAAAGGGTCTGTTTCCTTGCTCTACAACTCTGTGATTCTATGGCTCTAATTATTCCTCCTATTGGCTTAGTAAAATCAGTTGTGTGATAAAACTGGTGTAGCACCTCATCCTATCAGTTTTCCAATCAAAGTATTAGAACATAGGGGGATGATAAATAAATCTGTGGATGACATACAATTTGGCCGTGTGATTAACAGTGAGGATATAAATGTATTGGTCAGATGAGCAGATCAATGGCAGATGGAATTTAACTGTGATAAATGTGAAGTGAGGCAATTTGCAAGACGCATCAGGACAGGGGAGTACTCAATGAATGACAGGACACTTGGAGGCTCAGAAGGACAGAGGGATTTTGGGCTGCTTGTCCACAGATCCCTGAAGGTGGCAGGACAGGTTAACAGGGTAGTTAAGAAGACATATGGGGATGCTTGCCTTTATCAGTTGAGTCAGAGATTATAAGATTATAAACTGTGTCTTAACCATAGTTCTGTACAGCTCCAGCTGTACTGGGAGGTTATGCTGGAGCTGTACAGAACTATGGTTAAGCCACAGCTGAAGTACTATGTCGCCATATCTATAGCAAGGATGTGATTGTACTGGAGGGGGTGCAGAGGAGATTCACCAGGATGTTGCCTGGGATTGAGAATTTCAGCTATGAAGAGAGGCTGGATAAGCTCAGGCTGTTTTCGTTGGAGCAGAGAAGGCTGAGAGGGGACTGATAGAGGTGTAGAAATCTATGAGGATTAGAAAGCAGCTGTTATCGTTAGTTGAAGGGTCAAGAACAAAGGGGTGTAATGTTAAAGTGAAAGGCAGGAAGTTTAGAGGAAACGAGAAAAAGCCCAGAGGATGATGGGGCTCTAGAACGCACAGCCTGGAAGGGTAGTTGAGGCAGGTAACCGCACAACATTTAGAAAGTACTTCAATAAGCACTTGAAATGTCATAACATTCAAGGCTATGGGCCAAGAGTGGAAAAGTGGGATTAGAGTAGGTGGTAGTGTACTTTTGGCAGATTTGGAGGGGTGAACCTGTATGATTCTAGTGCAATTGCCCCCAAAGGTATGAGAAAATAATTGAATGGTATCAATATCACTCACAGAAGCCATTAACAAATAAGATGATAAAACGCAAGAAGAATGGCATTTGCCATTTCTATCTCATTCCCACCCCAACCCATTGTAGGGTGCATGTGTGCCCCAGGTACTGCAGCAGTTCCAGAAAGCAGCTCAATGTCACCTTCTCCAGGGCAGACAAAAATGGGTAATAAATGCTGGTCCAGCCAGCAAAACCCTCACGTCTCAAGAAATATTAAATTTACAGCATTACTCAGCTCTTCTATCGAAATAGTTCTGAATTACTTTTAATGATTTTCCAAACTGATATCCTTCTCTGTTCGCTGAACCTAAAATCTGTCCAAATCAATTTTTTCAACGTCTTGGCTGAGATAGTAATACTGCTGATTGCTCCTGAGACTGGCTCATACGGACCAGTGCCAGATTGATAGGGGATTGTGGCAGTCAGTGGTTACAATATAATTAAAAGGAGCATGAGAGCAGAAAAGCTACAAGTCTTGGTCATGGATTTATCACTGCCCAAGTATGTTGTAAAAATGGGACAGCTGTCCCTTCACTATATCAATCCAACACTGAGTATACGGGACAGCTTTCAATGGAACACCAGGGAGGGGGATAGCTGAGTGGTGCAATGTGTTAAAGAAAGCACTTGTGTTTATGAAGCATATGTCCTAAATTCAGGATGCTTCCAAAGTGCCTTCCTGACAATGAACTACTTCTGAAGCACAGTCACTATCGTAAAATGTAGAAAATGCAGCAACCAATTTATGCACAGCAAACTGATAATGGTTCTAGGTAATCCAGTTTTGTGATTTTGGCAGAGGGTCAACTATTGCCCAGAAGTGGTGCTGGGTGATCATTCATGTCCACGTTAGAGGGCAGAAGAAACCGAGGTTTAATGTCTAACTTGAAGGATGGCACTTCTGATACTGCAGTACTCCCTCAATGTCCTACTGAAAGTGTCAGCCTAGATTTTGTGCTCAAGTCACCAGAGTATGTCATTATCTTTTCACCTCTAGGATTTGGTTTGAATCTAGTTCTGGTCCACTGATGACTTTAAGGATTCTTGTTAAATAATTTTACACAATCACATCCCAGTTTCTATCACAGAGTCTCCCAAGATTTGAGACAATCCCACACTAATCTAGAAAACTCACAAAGAGTAGACAGATAAGAATTTGAAGATTTTGTTCAGATACTCTAAGCTGAAGTTTAGATCAATGAAAGAGTTTGCTGATAATAAGCTGAGGGAGCTCTACTCAACATACAGCCATGATGTATCTGAGCTGAAATAAACACAGGGAATGCTGGAGAAAGCCTTTGTTCACAGGTTATGGTCATAGGGCAATATGGTTGTAGATTCAGTTCGGAAGAAAAGTCATTTTGAATTTGAAACATTAACTTTTTTCTCTCTGCAAGACCTGCTGGGTTTCTCTTGCATTCTGTGCTTTTTTTTTCAGATTTCCAGCAACCATAGTATTTTGCTTTTATTTGTAGCTGAGACGAATGTGTTGTCAGTGGAAAATATCTTTCATAGGGTAAGGCTAAAATCCCTAATCCTTATTCAGGCAAATAAATAAAAGCAAGTAGCTTATATCCTGACCTGCTTGTCCAGGAATTCCCGGGCATCCTTTTCGATGTGACCCTCGTAGAGGTTTGTGGTGAGGCTCATAAGACCAATCTTTGAGAGGCCAAAGTCTGTTAGCTTAATGTGCCCCATCGATGTTATCAAGAGACTGTCAAGCAAGAAGAACAGAGCAAGTGATTTAACAAAGCAGATGGAGAGTCCAACAAGTGAACTGGTGACAATTGGCCTTGTGTCTTGAGATGAATGGATTGGAAGCTCATTAGAATTTTTTGTGAAATTGAAAAAGTCTCTACATCTCAAAAATATTAATGGACAGTTACCTTCAGTTTCTCAATGAACACATGGTTATCATTGTCAACTCAAGTTGAACATGTTCCTGGAGGTATATCGTGTGATTTCTCATCTTTAACTTCCCCACCCAGTCAAACTGCCTCTGTACCCACCCCCATATCCCACAACAACCACCTCCCAAAATAATATCCACAATCTGATGAACAAACGTGTGCAAAGATGAATGACAAAAACACAATTTTTTAAAGGCTCAGTGATCTTTCTCCCATTGTTGCTCCCAGATATTAATCTGCAAAACAGGAAACTATAGGCTGGTTAGCCTGACCTCAGTCATTGGTGATATTTTAAAGTCCATTATTGAGGATGAGAGTGCAGAGTACTTTGAAGTGCATGGTAAAATAGGGCTGAGTTAGTACAGCTTCATCAAGGGGGGAGGTCATGCCTCACAAATCTGTTAGCGTTCTTTGATGAGGTAACAAACAAGTTAGACATAGAGGAGCCAGTGGACATGATCTTTTTGGATTATCAGAAGGCTTTTAACAAGGTGCCAGACAGGAGGCTGCTAAATAAGATAAGGGCCCAAGTTGTTAGAGGTAAGGTACTGACATGGATAGAGGATTGGCTGACTGACAGAGGCAGAGAGTAGTGATAAAGTGGTCTCTTCCAGGATGGCAGATCACAACTATTCACATTATGTGTTAACAGTTTGGACAAAGGGACTGAGAGCATTCTTGCTAAGTTTGCAGATGATACAAAGATAGGTGGAGGACACAGGTAGTGTTGAAGAAGCAGGGAGCTGCAGAAGGACTTGGACGGCTAGGCGATTGGGCAAAGAAGTGGTAGATGGAATACAATGTGGGAAAATGTGAGGTTATGCACGTTGGTAGGAAGAATAGAGGCATAGACTATTTTCAAAATGGGAAAAAGCATCAGAAAATCTGAAACACAAAGGTACTTTGGAGTCCTAATACAGGATTCTCTTAAAGTTAACATGCAGGTTCAGTTGGCAGTTAGGAAAGCAAATGCAATGTTAGCATTCATTTCAAGAGGGCTAGAATACAAGAACAGGGAGGTACTGCTGAGGCTGTATAAAGCTTTGGTCAGACCACATTTGGAATATTGTGAGCAGTTTTGTGCCCTGTTTCTAAGGAAGGATGTTCTGGCTTTGGAGGAGGCCCAGAGAATGTTTACAAGAATAATCCCAAAGATGAAGAGCTAATCGTATGAGGAGCAATTGAGGACTTTGGGTTTGTACTCAATGGAGTTTAGAAGGATGAGGGGGAATTTGATTGAAATTTACAGAATACTGAGAGGCTTGATAGAGTGAACGTGGAGAAGATATTTTCACTAGTAGGAGAGGCTGGTACCTGAGGACTCAGCCTCAGAGTAAAGGGATGATCCTTTAGAACCGAGATGAGGAGGAATTCCTATAGCCAGAGGGTGGTTAATCTGTGGAACTCATTGCCAGAGCAGGGTCTAGAGGCCAAGTCATTGAGTGCATTTAAGACAGAGGTAGATAGGTTCTTTTGGTAAGGGGATCAAGGGTTATGGGGAGAAAGCATGAGAATGGGGTTGAGAAACATACCAGCTATGATTGAATGGTAGATCAGACTAGATGGGCCGAATGGCCTAATTCTGCTCCTATGGTGAATCCAGGTGTATGGTGTTTTTTGTGCACATAGGGTGTTTCCCATTAAATACATGACCCGTTTAGTTAAACAATACCTGATTAATATTAACCTCAAAGTAAACTTCACTATGACAGGAATGGGTGACCCAAACTTACTTGTCAGGTTTTAGGTCCCGATGGACAATGCCATAATTATGTAAATATTCCAAAGCCAGAACAGTTTCTGCAAAATACATCTGGGCCAGGTCCACAGGCAATGCACCAATATTTTTCAGCAGTGTTGCACAGTCACCTCCTGCAATAAATAAAATGGTAAAAGACGTTAATTACAACAACAGGTTGCGTAGACTGTATTCCCTCAAATCATGAGGGGCATGGATAAGGTGAATAGCCAGCATCTTTTTCCTAGGGTGGGGATGTCCAAAACCAGAGGGCATAGGTTTAAGGTGAGAGGGGAAAGATTTAAAAAGGACCCTAAGGGGCAACTTTTTCAGGCAGAGGATGCTGTGTGTATGGAATGAGCTGCCAGACGAAGTGGTGGAGGCTGGTACAATTACAGTTTAAAAGGCATCTGGATGGGTACATGAATAGGAAGGGTTCAGAGGGATATGGGCCAAATGCTGGCAAGTGGGACTAGGTCAGATTGGGATGTCTGATTGGCATGGACGAGTTGGACCAAAGCGACTGCTTCCATGTTGTATGACTCTATGACTCTAGGTACAAAAGATCAAGGAATGATATTTTCAAGGTTTGATGACAATTGAGGGTGATGTATTTTCGCGAGAGAAATCAGATCAACCGGTAATATTGAGGGAGACAAAGGAGGAAACAAATTGACAGCTTAGGAAGCACAAGAGGTACAAGATTTGGGAATAACACCAAGATGTTGGGCATTCTCAAAGACCATGAGTATTAGAGGGCCATGTTCACTGATGTTGCTGAGCATGGTATTTAAAGAAGCAGCGAATTAATAAGTGAATGTAGAAATGTGAAGAACAGGGGAGTTATTTCCGGTGTCCTGATCAATATCTATCCCTCAATTAACATCACTAAAAAATGAATAATCTGATCATTATAGCCTGAAGTCCTGAACAAACGGGTATATTTTTCAAATTGGAACAAGGCTGTTCAAGAGTGAAGTCAGGAAGCTCTTCATTATCTTAAGGGTACTGGGAATTAAAAATTCTTCAGTCCTCCTTACCCCCACCCAATAGGATTGAGGTCGGCATACAATGAAAACTTTCACACCCAAGGCTGATAGCTTTTGTTTAATCGGTGAGGAATACAGAAGTGAGGCAGGTTAAGATATTAATCAAATTGAGAAATGGAACAGGTTCAACGGGCTGAATAGCATAAGCCTAACAGCTCGGGTTGTGATTGGTGCAACAACTGAAAGTTAGCAGCACATACTTGCGTGAAAAAGCCCTGGATGCTGGATACTGAGTGATATCAATATTCAATAATTTTGCAGGTTACACTGCCAGGGCCTCATTCCAACTACATAAACTGCATTTGATTACATAAGCTGGGCTACAATGGAATTTTTAATTCCTACATAAACTATAAGATTTCTCTTACAAAGATTGAGGTGGTGGGTAGAAGAGCAAATTTAGCTGAACATCAGGGCACTGTGCATGAAGAAGATACATCATTGTGGGCAGCACAGTGGCTCAGTGGTTAGTACTGTTGTCTCACAGCGCCAGGGATCTGGGTTCGATTCCGCCCTTGGGTGACTGTGCAGAGTTTGCACATTCTCTACTTATGTGCGTGGGTTTTCTCCCACAGTTTAAAGATATGCAGGTTAAGTGGATTGGCCCTGCTAAGTTGCCCACAGTGTCCAGGGATGTGCAGAATAGGCAGGTTAGCAATGGGAATTACAGGGATAGGGTAGGGGGTTGGTTCTGGGTAGAATGCTCTTCAGAGGGTTAGTGAGGTCTGAATGGCCTGCTTCCACACTGTAGGGATTTTATTTACATACAATCAGTTTTGGACCATTTACATCAACATGAATGTAAATATTTGCTTTGACAGACCCAGGGAAATGGCAGCCCAGGTTTTCAGGTTCCAGGTCTGCACCTCACCCCCTCTTCTTCTGGGGAGAAAACAGCCACTCCCTGGCAATCCGTAGGTGGATAGCTTGTTTAGAATATCCTTTGGTGAAAAAGGATATTTGGCCCATCAATTCCATACACTCTGAATAACAACTATCTCTCCCTCCCGCCCCCCAAAACCAGCAATCTTTTAAGTAATTGTAGGTCTCCAAAATCCTAACTTTCATCCGTTCCCATGGAAAATATTTACGCATTTATTAATATTGATACAATTGTTCAAGTATATTTCAGTGTTTATCCTCCACTGTGCTTTCCCCTTTAGAGTGCACTGGATTCCAAGGATTAGGGATGGGACAGTGGGCTGGCTCTTCTGTCACTCACCTTCCACATATTCCATAACCATGCAGAGGTGCCGTCTGGTCTCAAAAGAGCAGAACATACTGACAACAAAAGGATTCTCTGCGAAGGTAAGGATATCACGCTCCACAAACGCCTGCTGAATCTGGTTTCGAAGTATCAGGTTTTGTTTGTTTATCTTCTTCATGGCAAATCGTTGCCTTGTCTCTCTGTGCCTCACCAAGTAAACAGCACTGGAACAAAGCAAGGAACATTTCAAACAAGTTTCAAATGGGATTTGGGTTGTTTAGTCTTGCATCTATTTAAGATGTTATTAAGTTAATTTGCCTCATTCTAACAAGGTATATCGAGGTTGTACAGGATGTTGGTGAGGCCTCTTCTGGAGTACTGTGTCCAGTTCTGGTCACCTTGCTATAGGATGGATATTATTAAGCTGGAGTGGTTTCAGAGGAGATTTACCAGGATGTTGCCAGGAATGGAGGGTTTGAGTTATGAGGGGAGGCTGGATAGAATGGCTCAACACAGTGTGGAGCTGGAGGAACACAACAGGTCAGGCAGCATCAGAGGAGCAGGAAAGCTGACGTTTCGGGTTTACACCCTTCATCAGGACTGGACTTTTTCCACTGGAGGGTAGGAGGTTGAGGAGTGACATTATAGACATTTATAAAATCATGAGAGGTATAGATAAAGTGAATGGCAGGTGTCTTTTCCCTAGGGTGGGAGATTTCAAGACTAGGGGACATATTTTTATGGTGAGAGGAGAAAGATTTAAAAATAAGATGTGAAGGGCAACTTTTTTTTACACAGAGAGTGGTTCCTGTGTGAAATGAACTTACAGAGGAAGTGGTGGATGTGGGAACAGTTACAAGACATTCAGATAAGTACATGAATAGAAAAGGTTTGGAGGGATAGGGGCCAAGCGCAGGCAGGTCGGACTACTTTAGTTTAGGATTATGGTTGGCATGAACTGGTTGGAGCGAGTGGTCTTTTGCTGTGCTGTATGACTCTACAAAAGCTGTTCCCCTTAGCTGATTGTACAAGAATTAGGGGCAACAGATTTAAGATTCTGGACAAGAGGTGCAGCCAACAGCAGTGGCTTGGGACTTGCTGATAGAAGTGGTGACACTATATGATTTCAAAATGAAGCTGGATGGGCGCTTAAGGTCAGTAAACTTGCAAGGGCTTCAAGGATAGAGCGGGGGAATGGGACTGAGTAGGCTACTCTCCAGAGTATGTACTCGATGGGCTGACTGACCTCTTTTAGTACATTAATGATCCTCTGACTCATTTCCTGCAACATACATGTGCTCTTTGTTCATGTCATCCAAAGTAATGGTTCATACCAATGCAGAACATACCTCCACTGATCTACTTACGAGTGAAATTAGGAAGTACTTTTCGACACAAATTTGGATCTAGGTCCCCTCCCACAAGGCTGTAGATGCTGGGTGAGAATTGACATCTTCAAAGCTGAGGTCAATCGATTTTTACTTGGTAATGTTATTAAAGGATACGGAACAAAGTTGGGCAAATAGAACCAAGGGGCAGGTCAGCAACTAATTAAATGGAAAGAGCAGTTTTGGGAGGGAGCAGGCTAAATGAGCTCCTCCTTCTCATATAGTTCCTGTGATGGTGAATGTTGACCAATTCTTACTGATCTCTTAGTCTGTAACACGATCGCTCAGCTTGAGCTAGACTTGGCAAAGGATCAGTGAACCCTTCCGTACACTATTCCCATTCCTTTCCAAAAAAAAATTGGATGTCATCCACTCATTATACAAATTAGAACCCTCAAATCCTCAAAGAGAAGACTTCTAAGCCATCTGCTCCAACTCCACAAAAACCAGATCCCATGTGTGGCTACACTGCTGTGCGTCATCCTCCAGTCAGTCTGGAAGAGCTTCCGGCTCCAACATAGTGTTGCCAACCCTTTCAAGAGTCTCAGGATTTCAAATAAAGCTGCAATTTGCGACAAACAAAGGCAAAGAACTTTAGACCAGTGAGCCTTACATCAGTGGTGGGTAAGCTATTGGAGGGGATTCTGAGAGACAGGATATACATGCAAAAGCTGATTAGGAATAGTCAACATGGCTTTGTGCATGGGAAATTGGGTCCTACTAATTTGACTAAGGTTTTCTAAAGAGATGACAAAGAAGATTGATGAAGGCAGAGCAGTAGATATTGCCTATATGGACTTCAGCAAAGCGCTTGACAAAGTTCCACGTGGTAGACTGGTTAGGAAGTTTGATCACACAGGATCCAGTGGGAGCTAGCCAATTGTATATAAAATTGGCTTGAAGGTAGGAGACAGAGAGAGGTGGTAGAGGTGCTTTTGAAGTGGAGGCCTGTGATCAGTGGTGTGTCACAGGATCAGTGCTGTGTCAATTGCTTTTCATCATTTGTAGGAACGATTTAGATGTGAATATAGGAGGCATAGTTAGTAAGTTTGCAAATGACACCAAAACAGGTGGTGATGTGGACTGTGAAGAAAATTACCTCAGAGTACAACAGGACCTTGATCAGGTGGGGCAATGGGCTAAGGAGTGGCAGATGGAGTTTAGTTTAGATAAAATGAGATGTTGCATTTTGGCAAGGCAAACTAGGGCAGGACTTATACGGTTAATGGCAGGGACCTGGACAGCATTGCCAAACAAAGAGGCCTATGGGTGTATGTGCATAGTTCCTTGAAAGTGGAGTCACAGGTAGACAGGATGGTAAAGAAGGTGTTTGGCACGCTTGCCTACCTTGGTCAGAACACTGAGTATAGGATTTGGGACATCATGTTGCAGCTGTACAGGACATTGGTGAGGCCACTTTTAGAATACTGTGTACAATTCTGGTTGCCCTCCTATGGAAAGGATGTTGTTAAACATGAGAGGGTGCAGAAAAGATGTTGCCAGGACTGGGAGGTTTGAGCTATAGGGAGAGGCTGAATAGACTGTGGGTTTTCTCCCTGGACCATCGGAGACGGAGGGGTGACTTTATAGAGGTCTATAAAATCATGAGGGGCATGGATAGCGTGAACAGCCAAGGTCTTTTTTCTAGGGTGGGAGAGTCCAAAACTAGAGGGCATAGGTTTAAGGTCATGAAGTTTGAAAAAGGGTGCCCTGGCAGAAATAGATGGGTACCTAATGAAAGAGGAGAGTGAAGAGGTGCATGATGATGAGATTTGAACATGATAATGAAAACCTCCAATTTGTGGGGAGGCAGTGGCCTAGTGGTATTACCCTGGACTGTTAATCCAGAGACCCAGATAATATTCTGGGGACCTGGGTTCAAATCCTGCCACGGCAGATGGTGGAATTTGAATTCAATAAAAAAATCTCTGGAATTAAGAGTCTAATGGTGACTACAAATCCATTGTCGACTGTTTAGGGAAGGAAACAGCCATCCTTATCTGGCCTGGTCTGTACGTGACACCAGGCCCACAGCAATCTGGTTGACTCTGAACTGCCCTTTGGGCAATTAGGGGTGGGCAATAAATGCTACCTAGCTAGTGATGCCCTCATCAATAAAGAAAAGGTGAGAGGGGAAAGATTTAAAAGAGACATAAGGGGCACCTTGTTTCACACAGAGGATGGTGTGTGTGTATGGAATGAGCTGCCAGAGGAAGTGGTGGAGGCTGATACAATTACATTTAAAAGGCATCTGGATGGGTATACGAATAGGAAGGGTTTAAAGGGATATGAGCCAAATGCTGGCAAATGGGACTAGATTAATTTAGGATATCTGGTTGGCATGGACGAGTTGGACTGAAGAGTTTGTTTCCCTGCTGTACAACTCTATGAAATTTAATATTTTTATATATGTTCTGAAAAGTGTGAAACAATAAGCTTTGACAGCATGCTGAATCATTTTTAGCAGGATTCGAGTTCTGTACTACCTAGTGACTATAATTACAAGACCTTTCTAAAGAAGTTAGCTACAATAAGTAACATCCACTATTTCCTGGAATAAATCAATAAAATATCCATATTCTCACTTACCCATACGCCCCATTGCTTATTAGTTTAATGGTGTCAAAGTCTTCTTCAGATGGTGCCTTTGGGGGTTTGCCAGAAGGTCCACGACCCTGGGGCAAATCAGACATGTTGGTTAGAGTCAGATTTTTCAACAATAAATTGCATTCCTAACTGCTGCATGGAGGCGTAAACAAAATGTTTGACATTGTACCAAAAGAGGAAGTCTGAAAAAGGTTGGCCTGGCAGAAATAGATGGGTATCTAATGAAAGAGGAGAGTGAATTGGGGAGGTAGGGGAATTTAGGCAGCTGAAGAGCCAGCCACCAGTGGTGGGGTGAAGAGAAATGGCAGCAGGGAATGGGGAGATGCTGGAAGTGTGAATACACAAGGGGCCAGAGTCATAAGAATGAGTGCCTGGCAAAATGTTATAGAGCTGCAGCAGAGGTGATGATGAGGTTTGAACATGCTAATGAAAACCTCCAACTTGGGGCACTAATTGGGAGCATATATAGGTCACTGTCAGCAGAACAGGACTTGATGGAGATTAGAATATAGGCAGCAGTGTTTCAAATAAATTATAGCCCAGGAAGACACATGGATGGATTCCCAGTCTGGTGGACGCTGGAAGTACCTAATGAGGCAGTGACAAAGGCATAGAGTCAGTCTTACTCTGTAACTCGCTGTGTAACAGAGAGTGTGTGAGCAACCTTCTTCACCCCTATTCTGTGACTTGCTGCAGGACCTATGACCTTCTGAATTCTAGTTTATCTTCAGTAGTGAATTACAGCAAAGCTTTATCTGTCCACACACTCTCCTAAACTTCGAATCCAGGGGTCTGGTGGAAAGGGAAAATGTACAGCCAGCATTAAAGAAATTACACTTGTTCAATTTTTAAATCTATTCTGAAGTCTGGTTAACAGAGGAAGCAGTTTTCCTCGCTGCATCACCTGCTCCCTGGTCAAGTTCAGCATCACTCCAGAATACTCAAGCCCAGTCAAGCCAAATTTAAAAGTGCATTTCTGTTATATTTGCATGACATTTCCATTTACCTTATCACTACACTGAACATTACACTGCTTTCAGCTATGGCCCCTTCACCAGGGAAATGAGTTGAGAAATTCAATATTTGCTCAATTCTTGGGATTTTAAACAGTCTTTCAGCTGGAACAGTCTGAGGTACACTGTTGCACTGGGAGTAGAACGGAGAAGGAAACCTTCTATGATGCTACGGTAATAGTAAAGGACTAGGGCAGAGAAACGGAGAAGCATAAAGGCTGCGAGAGAGAGAGAGAGAAAAGGAATGCAAAACACAGTGAAAGTTAGAGAGACAAAGGACAACACCTCACATTGAATTTGTCCACCAACACTGCAGTTACAACAAGCTTCCCTCCACAGCACTGGTGTGGAACAAAGTCACCTGAGACTGACGTTTGCTTATGACACATGTAAAGTTTTGTTCAAGTTAGCAGGAAATCAGAGGGACCAAATGAAGCTCTCAGCTCTGGACCTTAAGTAATTGGTTATAATTCACAAAGGGCAATAGACAACTCTGGCCATTATAGAGAGACAAAAGGTTACATTGCATGAGGGGCTTGACTCCAAAACATTGGGAAAAGTGAGGAGGTGGAGTCTCCATGAACTATTGTGATCTCTGGAATCAGAAAGAGGAAAATCCTGCTAATGCTGGAAACCTAAACTAAAAGCTGTAATTACTCAGCAGGCCTAACAACTACTGCGGAAGGAGAAACTGAATTATCACTTCATGTTTCAGAGATAGTAGGAACTGCAGATGCTGGAGAATCTGAGATAATAAGGTGTAAAGCTGGATGAACACAGCAGGCCAAGCAGCATCAGAGGAGCAGGGGCTGCTTGGCCTGCTGAGTTTATCCAGCTCTACACCTGTTATCACTTCATGTTGGTGTCTTTCCATCTGAACTAATGAAAGATAATCAACCTGAATGTTAATTTTGTCTTTCTTATGCTGCCTGACCTCCTGGACATTAACCATCAGGGGCCACATCACACATTGGCAGTATAGAGCTGTACCCCATCATCACTGTTAAGGGAGAAAGCAAGAGAAGAAACTCTCCATTGTTTATATACAAATATTTTAAGATACGCGAATATAATTCTGGCTGAACGAACTCACATCAATCAAATCGACCAGTTCTTGGGTGTTGAGATTTGGACTGTAATAGGTATCCAGATGGGCCATTTCTGTTCACAAAAATATGAGAATAAATATGTGAGCATTTCAGGTCTTGCAGGTCTTAAAGGGGCCTGACATTCAAAACCTTATTTCCTTGCAGCTATGGTGTGCAAAGACTAAGGCTGGACAGTGGAATAGAATATGGCTATGGGAAACTGTCTTACAACACAAGATGATAACTGAGTGCATTATCAGACAGAAGAATCCAATCCCCTCACCTGTAAGATTTGATAATGTGAAACTAAGGTAATGTGCTTTTAAGATTACACGTGGGTCTCTGAAATTCAAGTTGACTTGTTAGAATATGACATCAAACTAGGGGTCTGAGTTTGCAGCAAACCAGATAAGGTCATTTTGATAAATTCTTCACTGCAGTTACATCTAATAATTTCAAAAGGAAGTCTCCAAATGTTATTTTTGTTTCTTTTCCCATTTTCCCCCTCTCATTTCTTTACCCCCATCATTGGCTTTTTGTTGCAAACAGGGAGCCAGTCACTAAACATCATCAAAGATGTTCTAAACAGACTTCAGGAGATGTGTATCTTTGTATGTGCGAGAGGGCAAGTTCAAGATGGGAACAGTGGTGTGTGCCCAAGGCTAGAATGTGCAGGAGTGAGGAAAGCGCACAAACAAAAGAGTGATGTATGCATGAGAACATATTGTGTTCAGAAGACGTCAATGTGTGCACAAAAGGGCAGTATGGGTATGAGGGGTATAGCATGCACATGGCTGTTGTATGAGCATAAGGAGGCAGTGTGTGCCATGAAAGGGCAATGCAGCACAAGAATATATGCATGAAAGGGCAGTCTGTGTATGAGAGGAATTTTTACACAAGGAAGCCTAACATGCATGTGAGGGGAGTCTGTGCATAAGAGGACAATGCGTGTATGAAAGGGCAAGCTTGGTGTAAAATAAGATACATAATCCTGAAATGGCCAATGAGCTGAAAAGGGCACCATGCCTCTTATTTCACTGCCTCACGCCATGGCTCATGTCTACTATATGTTCAGCTACTAGGTGACCGGCTACTGCTGTGAATGTAAATGGTGTTCCCAGGGCACAGCTCAAGGACAACATAGAACCAACTCATATTTATACCATGATGCCCTCCCAATCATGCCTCATATGCAGATGGAGATGGCGGATTAAAATTGTAAAGCTCATATTTACCCTGAAAGCTCAATGAATGAATGTGTCTGCATTCTGACAATGAAGCATATCAACTGGAAAAGCTGTTCTGTGGCAGGTTAGCTGCCTTCATGCTGGATTAGCAAAACTAGTACAATGGACTTTGATTCTCCTGAGCTGGCTAAGAAATACGTGTCCGTCAGGTCTCTCACCCTTAGAATCATTCCAATGATTATTGTGTGGAAATGTACATTTGCAAATGTCAGATTAAAATAGGACAGGGCTTTGCAATGGTGCCTCTTGCAGTTGAGTAGGCTGCCAATTGTGCTGGTTTGGAGTCTCGATTGGTACAAACACAGCGTTGAGGACCTGACCATAATACTAAGGCTAACTGTGTTTCCTGAACTCTCATCCCTTTAAGATGCCCTCTCTGTGCTCCCATGTACAGGCTCACAGAGACTAAATGGCTACAGGCTCCAGTGGAACTGTTCCCTGCTAGGATGCAGAGACAAACATCCAGCATAGAGGAGGCCATTCAACCCATCAAACCCATGACAGATTTTGAAAGGGCTGTCCAATTTATCCCTATTTCCAACTTCAACTCCCTTTGTACGTTTGAATGTACTTCAATAGCCCTCTCACGCCTGCATTCCACAACTCAACAACTGATGCACAAAAACAATTTTCCTTAACCAGTTCTCTTTGCAAATGAATGAATGTTCTCTGGCTCCTGATACTTCTGCCAATTTTATTTTATCAATTAATTTACAATTGACAAAATGCTTAGCATTTTTCTTAAGATTTAGCTGCAAGACTTTATTTTGTTATTGGAAGTGTTGTAGATTGGTGGCACAGCACAGAAGCCAATATTTAACCTGCACAATGCAATTACAGGTAGAGTCAACAGTAGAGTGCTTCAGGCTCTTGTGGCACAGTGGTAGTGTCCCTAATATGGACAAGAAGATCTATGCTCACATCTCACTTACCACAGAGGCGTGTCATAATGTGTCTAAACAGGGTGATTGAAAATAACTAGAAAGCAGACAATGCCTTTAGGAACTAGTAGCCACCACAACACCTGGGGTGTATCATTGCCTGAATAATAATATTTTGATAAATCTCTATTGAGCATTTGATTTGGATTTTTGTCACAGCACATCACCAGGGGCTGTCTAACTTGTTTAAAGTTTTATTTAAAACAGTAGAAATCAGAGTGTCCTTACCCTCCAGGGGGTCACGGGTGAGTCCCAGCTGACTGATGATGTAACGTGGAATGTCAATTTTAATGCCATGGCCTTCCTTTGCATGGTCTTCAGCAGCCTCCAGCAGATGGTAAAATTCCTCAGGGTTAAATTCCTATGTGAAGTCGGGGTGGGGGTAAGAGGTTGGAGGGATGGGTTTGAGAGAATTTTGGTGAACTTAGTGGTTTCTTCAAAGTCTATTCACTAGACCGAACGCTACACAGTTTCTGCATGTAAGGGATCTTTACATTATTTCTGAATCACAAGTTCTTGATTCAACTCCCACATCAGGGCATAAACATCAAAAATCTTTCTTAAGACTCCAGTGCAGTCAGGGGCACTACACTGTCTGACGTGGTGTCTTTTGGATGGGCTGTTAAACTGATGTCCTGACTGCTTAGGTGGGTATAAAACATTCTATGGCACCATCTCGAAATTGCCCCGGTCTTATCCTGGGTACCCTGCCACTGTTTATCCCTCAGTCAACATTACAAGTAGCAAATCATTTGGTCAATCTCACAAGGTTTTTTGTGGGAATTTACACAGCATGAATTAGCTGCCTTGTTTCATAGATATATAGAAAATAGCAGCAGGAGTAAGCCATTCAGCCCTGCAAGGCTGCTCTACCAATCATTATGACCATGGCTGATCATCAATGCAATTCATTACATTGCTACATTACAATGACTGCAACACTGATTACTTCATCAGTTGCAAAGTGCTTTAAAATGTCTTGTGACTATGAAAAGGGCTATAAAATTCAAGTCTTTCTTTCTGTTCGATGTTGCCTTTCCAATCAAATTATGGAACAGTTTTGCGGAAACCTCCCATCCAGCATTAATATTGAGAGAACTGAGAATAGATGTGACCACAATGTTATTGATTTGCCCTACGATAAATGATTCCCTAATGTCTTTTTCAGAAAGGAAATGTGCTGTTCTTACCCTGCTCTGCATTTATAAGTGACTTCAGTCCCACACCAATGTGGGTGATTCTGACTGCCCTTTACAGAGGACTAGCAAACCAAGAGGTTAAATTAAACCAAGGCTTTGAAGAAAGTCATTCAGGGCAACTAGTGATAGACAACAAGGGACAACAGTGCCCAGAGAATGAACTGAAAAATCTTTTTGAGAATTTGTATTTAGCTAACTTAAATAAAGCTCCACAGCCCTGCAATCTCCAAATCTGTCCTAGTGCTCTTCCCTGACTTTAATTGCTCCATCATTGGCAGTCATATGTTCAGCTGCTTGGATCCTACCCTCGGAAATTTCCTCCCTTAAGCCTTCCTCTCCTCATCTGATATACACCTTAAGAGATGTCTCTTTGCCTGAGCTTCACATCACCTAGTGAGGTCTGTCCTCATTTGGCATGGTTTCAAATTTGACTATTAGTTTTAATTTGTTCATGGGATGTGAGTGTCACTGTCTAGGCCAGCATTTATTGCTCACTCCTAAGTGCCCAGAGGGAAATTAGGCGTTAACCACATTGTGGTGGATCTAGAATCCTATGTAGACCTGACCAAGTAAGATTTCCTGCCCTCAAGGACATTAATGAATCCGATTATTTTTTAAAACAATTGACGATTGTTACATAGTCACCATTAGACTGGCTTTTTACTTCAGATTTTATTGAATTTGAATTTTCTCCATCTGCCATAGTGATTTGAACCTCTGTCCTCAGAGCATTAGCCTGGATTACTAGTCCAGTGACATCAGCAATATGTCACCACCTCCCCGTAATGCTTCTGCAAAGAGCTGTGGGATATTTCACCAGGAGCAAAGTGATATATTAATGCAGTTTTTCCCACTCAAACGGCCAGTGTTCTTTAAGTTAGCTATGACCACGGGGCAGTCACAGGATAACAGTGCACCTTAGACTAAATCTTAACAAAACAATCTCCTGGTTTCCCAAAAAAGACATTTCCATCAACATCTTCAAGGCTCCTGTGAGTGAGGCCAATGATCCAAGTGCAAATTAGGGTTCTCATTTGTTCTATGTTTAACTTGGGTGTTGCCAGACCAAACAGAGTTCTCCACAGTTCGCTCTATCAGTCCCAGACAAACTGATGTGCCTGTCTGAAAACCAAGACTTCCCTTGTTCGGAGGCAGGAGGCAGGAGGCAGGGATGGTTAGGCTGACCATGCCTTGACATTGATGACCTAAAGCACAGGGCAGACCTTTCTGCCAGGGCAATGCAGTCATTTATTCCTATTGAGAGAGTATGTGCCAACACAACAGTAGCAGGATCCCGACTCCTGCTCCAGCTGTGAGACACACGTGAATATGGTGACTGAGTTAGGATGGGCTTGTTGTTTTTATGAATTGCTACATCCCAAACACTGGGGGAGAGGGAGGGGCTCAGAGGAACTCAAAACTCATTCGCTGATGTGATTGACCGATTGAGGTCACAGTGATGGGTGGGTTCTCTCAGCAGTGAGAGATGTCTGCCCCCGTTATTAAATGGAATGAGTGAGCTGAATGTAAATCTGTGCTGCTTATGTTACTAGACTATTAATCCAGAGATCACAAGTTCAAATCCATCCCTTGAAGACTGAATTTATTTGCAAGAACTATGGAAGAAAGAGAAGGGGGAGTGGAGTTAACTCTCTATAAAGAGTGAGTACCGGCATGAAGGCTGAATGGCTTCCTTCTGCACTGTATCACTCTATTGTTCCAGTAAGTGTCAGCAATTACAGGGCTTCCCATGTTGGAGGTGATGCTATTTGAGCAAGATTCTATATAGGATCTCAAACTGTTTTACCCCAGTCACTCAATTCCATTCTCTCAGAAACAATATGGACTGACATTTAGGGATATATTTTGCACCAGAATATCAGCTGTAAGGCTGAGGAATAGTGTGGAAAGTGTTTCATTGCTATTCACCTGCCCCAAACGTAATCACTCCCCCTCCCTCGATGCTACCCCAGGCACTTGGTAAGCCACATCATTGGGCAATGGCAATGAGAGAGCAGGGCAGAGATGTATTTTTGATGACTTTGGAAACAATGGGAGGTCATAAGAATTGATATATCCCCATTCAACATACTCCCAAGAATCTGGAGATGAGATGAAGCATTAGAGAAACTGAAAAACTCTCATTTAATTCTTCTATATGTAAATTGTTGCTGCAAATCTTGAATTGGTGGCTCACAGAATTGACAAAAGCCTTATTAAAATGGATCAATCCTCACTGTTTACAACTGAAACTCTTGCTAAGGAGAAATGAGTGAAGAATGACCTATGCACCTGTTTATAGTTTGCATGGGATCTACAAGTAAGCTTTTAGATTTAGGTATGCCAAGGTTTATAGGATTGCAGGCAAATATCTGTGGAACCTGAAGAGCCTTTACTAGGGCTCACAATCTAAGGATACGGGGTAAACCATTTAGGACCGAGACGAGAAGAAATTTCTTCACCTAGAAAGTCGTGAACTCACTACCACAGAAAACAGCCGAGGCCAAAACATTGTGTGATTTCAAGAACAAATTGGGTATAGCACTTGGGGTTTAAATGGTCAAAAGAAATTGGGGAACAGGCTATTGATTTGGATGATCAGTTGTAATCCTTCTGAATGACAGAACAGGCTCGAAGGGCCAAATGGCCTACTGTTGCTCCTATATTCTAAGTTTCTATATTTCTGAAGTCAAAGATCCCATTTTGAACTGATGCCTGAAAGTACAATACAATAATATAATTGGGAACTGGAACATCTGTATTGGAGAGAGATTAATATGGCTTACCAGGCACTCGAGTAACCGTGCAGGCCGTGCAATGATGATCAGGAGCTTCTTCACCAACTGTGTCACAAAAGCAACCTCTGAACTCTCAGACCGTTCATGTGCCTGGAAGGAGTGGGAAACATTGCTTGTGTTAGAACTGACCTGGAACACTTCAGTCCCCACTCATAACAGGAACAAGAACAAAACAGTGTATATTTACACTTTTACACACATTGTTAGGGTGTGGAATGCACTGCCCGGAAATGTGGTGGAAGCAGGTTCATTTGAAGCATTCAGGAAGGCATTGGCTGTTTATTTGGATAGAAATAGTACGCAGGGATATGAGGAGAAAACAGGAGAGTGGCACCAAGTAGTAATGTTCATTTGAAGAGCGAGTGCAGGCACAGTGGGCTGAATGGCCTCTTTCTATGCCATAACAATTCTGTGATTCTGGTGGAACTAATGCAAGGCAAGCACATGAAATGATGACAGCATCTCGGGACATAAACGAAGGCTCTAATTCAGATCCTTGGCACCTTATGGTGAAGAAAACCACCTTAGTCATTCACCAAATGACAGCCACTAATTGATATGATAGGTGTAGGGGGGCAAAAATATTCGCATAGAAATAGCAATAAAGTGAATTTCAAATTAATCCCATTTAGTGCAAAATTTGTGGTTGATTAACTTCTGGGTTTCTTTTCTGGAAGGTCATTTTGGCTTTGGAAGGTGAAGCTGATTGGATAACTCTTTCAAAGAGGCAGCACGGACATGATAGGATGAATGGTCTCTTTCCATAAAATTCTGAGTCAGTATGAGGCTTGAGGTAAAGGTACAAGTGGCTTGTGGGATGAGTGCTCTCAATATTAGCCATGTACTTAAGCAGAGGTATTTGTTTTTAACTTATTGTGCACCCCTGTCATTTTGTTTCCATGGTGACACACATGTTGCTTTCGGTTTGACGACAGGAATTGTGCAAATTTCACCCTCCAAAAGTTTGCTATTGAATATGGCTGACATGAGGGATTTGATTATAAGAGAGACAGACGTGTCTCCCCATCACTAGTGCTCCAATGTCCAGTATATCCAAAGCTTTTAATACTTTCAGTTTAGCCAAAACATGAACAAGAAGAATGATAATCATTTAAATCGTCTAACCCTTTCCACAGACCAAGCACCATTTATACCACCAGAGCCCTTCTCATTTACTTCCTTAACAGAGAATTCTACAGAAGTATTCTCTGGTGCCCAAAGTGTATTATGCAAGAATCATTACCGATGCCACATAGGAACAGAACTTGGTTATTCGGTCCCTCAGGTTTGCTCTGGTATTCAATTAGATCATGACTCATTCATACTGTTTGTCTCTCTCGGATCTTCCCCATCTCGACCCATCGCTCTCCAATGGCATCTGATCCACTGTGTCATCTTGACTCAGTCACTGGCAATTCTCATTTCTAACTCAAATGGTGAGTTGAAGCCCAAATCTAGAACTGAAGCCATAATCTAGGATAACACTGGAGTGGAGTTAGGAGGAGTAGGCCATTTGACCCATCAAACCTGCTCTGCTATCTAATAAAGTATGGGTGACCTAAATGTGGTCCTCACTCCAGCTTCCTGCCTGTCCCCATAACCCTTGAGGAATAAAAATCTAACTCAACCTTGAACATGTGCAGTGGCCCAACTTCACTGCTTGTTGTGGAAGAGGATTCCAAAGATTAACAAAGCCACTGAGAGAAGAAATTCCTATTTGGAATAAAAAATAAACCTCAATTTAAAATAAAATTACACTCCCTAGTTCTAGGTTCTCCATTACGAGAAATGTCCTCTCAGTTTCCACGCTGTCATCTCAGAATTTCAAAAAGATCCATCTCTTGTTCTCCGAAATTCTTTACTTCAAATTTTTCCCCATAAAACAACACCCTCATCCCAGGAGTGAACTTTCTACGAACTGACTCCAATGCAAATATATCCTTACTTATGTAAAGTGACCAAATCTGTAGGCAGTACTCCAGACGTGGTCTCGCTAATGCCCAGAATAGTTGTAACAAAACCTCCCTACTTTTATATATTTTCTAATCAAACTGTTCAGACATGTTATTACACACATATAGAGCAAGTGGGACTTGAATCCAGATCTCCTAGCTTGGAGCCAGGGATGCTGTCACTGTGCCACAAGAGCCCCTACCTTCCTACTTTTATGTTCTATTACGCTCAGGCTAATGTTTTGTTTACATTCCAATTACCTGTCGTATTTGCCTGCTAACTGTTTGTGATTTTATGTAAAAAGACACAGACATTAAAGATCTGGAGGTATTATTCAAACGAGAGTAGGTATTTCTCTTAATTGCCCTGACAAACAACTCTGTGCCAACTGATACCTCAGAAAACAACAGGCCATTCATTTCATTGCTGTTTGAGGGTTATTGTTGGGAACTAAATGACTGTTGTGTTTTCCCACATGACAACAATGACTTCACTTCAAAGTAGTTCATTGCCCTTTGGAATATTCCCAGAAGGTGCGATAAGGTGAGAAATAAACAAATCTTTCTTTGCTCTTTACTGAATGTGGGATCATCTTGGCTTATACCTATCACTGCTAGACATTTACATTCATGTATTTATCAAGCCCTGGCTATGGAGAGAGGTGGTTCTAACTTCTAGTCTCTACTCTGGTTTAATCATTTTAAACCTGGACCCTTCAATTCTGCACCCATTCAAATTGCCTGCTTACATTTGCTTCATCAATAGAAAATAACCTGGATCATGCCTTCCCTCAGTCATTTTGACACAGAAGGAGGCCATTCAGCCCATTAGATTCATTCTGGCTCACTGTAGAGAAATCCAATCAGTCCGATTCTCCTGCTTTTTCCCCACAGTCCTGCAGGTTTATTGGTCTTGGGTATTCTTTTGGAACCATTGATGACTTTAACATTAGCCACTCTCATGGGCAGTGAGTTCCAAGCCCTTACAACACACTGTATAAAAAAGTTCTTCTAGATATCCTCCTACATCACTTATCCAACCTTAAATCAGTATTCTATAATCCTTGTACTATCAGTTAATGGGAACAACTTTCCTTTGCCTACCTTATCCAAACCTACCACAAACTTGTGCATCTCTGTCAAATCTCCCCTCAATCCCCTTTGCTCTGAGGAGAACAACCTCAGTTTCTTCAACTTGACTTTGCAACTAAAATCCCTCATCACTGGAAAAGTCCTGGTAACTCGCTTGTGCACTCTCTCAATGACTGTCATGTCCTTCCTAAAGTGGTGAACAGAATTGTGGTGGCATGGTGGCTCAGTGGTTAGCGCTGCTACCTCACAGCACCAGGAACCTGGGTTCAATTCCACCCTTGACTGTCTGTGTGGAGTTTGCACGTTCTCCCCGTGTCTGCGTGGGTTTCCTCCAGGTGCTCTGATTTCCTCCCACAATCCAAAGATGTGCAAGTTAGGTGGATTGGCCATGCTAAATTGCCTGTAGTGTTCAGGGATGTGTAGACTAGGGAGATGGGTCTGGGTGGGATGTTCTGAGTGTTGGTGTGGACTTGTTGGGTTGGTTTCCACATCAGAGGGATTCTATCTTCTATCCAGAATTGTTTTGGGTTCCCTTATGGTGAATAAAGAGGTATGTTGGTGAAATGGTAGTTGGATGCTTCCAGGGAGTGGTGTGAGGGAGGGGGCACATGGGGTGGGGGAGGCAGTGATAGGAGGTAAACATTTTCAAAAGCTTTTCCAGGCCTCATTCTAGAACTGATTTGCAACATTACCTCCATTCAATTCTGGTCTCCGTGCCACAGGAAAGATGTTGTGAAACTTGAAAGGATTCAGAAAAGATTTACAAGGATGTTGCCAGGATTGGAGGATTTGAATTACAGGGAGAGGCTGAGAAGCCGGGGCTATTTTCTTTGGAGCGTCGAAGGCTGAGGGGTGACCTTATAGAGGTTTATAAAATTATGAGGGGCATGGAGAGCGTGAATAGTCAAAGTCTTTTCCCCCATGTATGGGACCAAAACTAGAAGGCATAGGTTTAAGGTGAGAGGGGAAAGATTTAAAATGGACCTAAGGGGCAACTTTTTCACACAGACGATGGTGTGTGAATGGAATGAGCTGCCAGAGGAAATGGTGGAGACTGGTACAATTAAAACATTTACAAGGGCATCTGGATGCATATATGAATAGGAAGGGCTCAGAGGGATATATGAGCCGAATGCTGACAAATGAGACTAGATTAATTTAGGATATCTGGTTGGCACAGATGAGTTGGACTGAAGGGTCTGTTTCTGTGCTGTATATCTCTATAACTCTATTACCAAAACAATGGCTTCTTGGTTGGGAACCTACACATTGAGGGGACACATTTGATAAGACTCCAGAGATAGTAGGAACTGCAGATGCTGGAGAATCCGAGACAACAAGGTGCAGGGCTGGATGAACACAGCAGGCCAAGCAGCATCATAGGAGCAGAGAGGCTGACGTTTCGGGCCTAGACCCTTCATCAGAAAAGGGGGAGGGGAAGGGGGTTTTGAAATAAATAGGGAGAGAGTGGGAGGCGGATAGAAGAGGGATAGAGGAGAGGATAGGTGGAGAAGAAACAAACAGGTCGAAGAGGCGGGGATGGGGCCAGGAAAGGTGAGTGTAGGTAGGGAGTTAGGAAGGGGATAGGTCAGTCCAGGGAGGACGGACAGGTCAAGGGGGCGGGATGAGGTTGGTCGGTAGGAGATGGAGGTGCGGCTTGAGGTGGGAGGAGGGGATAGGTGGGAGGAAGAACAGGTTAGGGAGGCAGGGACGAGCTGGACTGGTTTTGGGATGCGGTAGGGGGAGGGGAGATTTTGAAACTTGTGAAATCCACATTGATACCATTGGGCTGCAGGGTTCCCAAGCGGAATATGAGTTGCTGTTCCTGCAACCTTCGGGTGGCATCGTTGTGGCACTGCAGGAGGCCCAGGATGGACATGTCGTCTGAGGAATGGGAGGGGGAGTTGAAATGGTTCGCGACTGGGAGGTGCAGTTGTTTGTTGCGAACCGAGCGTAAGTGTTCTGCAAAGCGGTCCCCGAGTCTCCGCTTGGTTTCCCCGATGTAGAGGAAGCCACACCGGGTACAGCGGATGCAGTATACCACAT